ATGTGGGAACCCAAAGGGCTCAGCCTCACCCCAGCTGCCAGCATCCCAGGCAGAGAAAATGTGGGAATTGTCATGTCTTCCCCACTGTCCTTCCTGCTTAGGAAGAAGCGGCAGCATGGGTGAGGCCATAGAGAGCAGGTATCTAAGTCTGTAACTTCACTGGAGCTGGGTTCCAATTAGCCTTCTCTATCTCTAGCTCCTAACTCCCTGCCTTATTGATTTTGAGAGGTACTAAAGAGTAGTGTTTGAACAAGTCCTTTAACTTCTCTAAACTTGCTCCTCCTCTGTGAAGGAAAACATATGGCAACCAGTCAGCCAGGGCTTGGTCACTGTGGCTTATGTCCTTGGGGAAGATCCCTTCCTACCTGGATTGAAGCACTCAGACCCTGGACAAGCCTTCAGCATCACAGTTCCCAGTGCCAGGAATGCCTTTGGTGCCCTTTGTTCAACTTCCCTACTGAAGGGAGGGCTCAACAGCTCTTCTGGACTGAGGAATGCCAGTGTTTGTGCATACTTTGAAGTTTTGATGAAAATATTTGGCTGAGAACATCTGTGGAGGAAAAGCCTCTTTCCTGTCCCTCAGGTCTGGGCTCCTTGTCATGAGGCTTCTCACCTGTGAGAGCCAGCTGTGGGCTGTTGATTGGTTACAGCAGGCAGTAGGAGGCCCACTACAAACCCCACCAGGACTGCAGAACTTCCCACACTCTGTCTTAGGTCTTGGCTGAGCACATCAGACAGCTGAAAGCACCAGTCTGACTGGTCACGTGGTGCCAGAGGATGCCATTCATAACCACTGTCTTTCACCCAGCCAGACTTCCAGCTTTTTCCTTTTCCATTTAGAAAGTCCTTCACTCAAACCTGAGTATTGGGAATTGCACAACCTGGCCTGAACTTGACCTGACACCCATCACAGCCTGTCTGCACAACTCTTGCCTCCTGGGCCAGCTCCAGACCCCAAGCACAGCATATGCCCTTGCCTACCTCACTCTGGTTACTTTTCTTGGCCTTTGCTGCTTGGGTGACCTCATCCTTCCATACTTCCCTTCATTCTCCACCAGGACATTAGGGATTGAAGTGCTTTACCTCTGGGATCCGTTTACTGGTCATGCTGGCTGGCTAGGTCAAGTGGAGAGGTTTTCCCACTACAGGTACTTTGTCCATTATTGCTGCTCTAGAGTACCCCAAACACTCTGCACCTCTGTCCACTGTTTTTACTATTGCAGCATCTGAGGTTTGCACACGAACTTGATTTCTCTGCTTCTAGTATCCTGGTACCTTTGTGGGTACTCTAGGCCTTTTTCACTGTATCCCCCCTCAGCACAGCTCCTGGATACCCTTGCTACCTAATTCACACAAGGTATGAGAACAGCTTCTTCTTCAAGAGCCCATGATTTCTGGTTGCATCTTTGTTGCCCACACATGCCATTTTACTTCTCTGTCATTTTTGTCTACCATTATAACACCAGCAAGATGGGAGACCAGGGCTCAGTGGGCAAGGTTTCCAGTCACTGCACTGAGCCCTCTGCACCCAGCAGGCACAAAGGACAGGGTAGGGACAAGGTTGTCTCTTGTCGCTGCCTAATACTATTTACCATCAGTCACTCAACAAACATTTGTCAACTGCTTACTGTGAGCCAGGCAGTATTGTAGGCGTTGGAGACAGCAACAGATTAAAATAATCCCTGTCCTGAGGTGGGAGGTGTGTGTGCATGCACATACTGGTGAGACTCAGACAGTAAACACAGTAAGTAAATTGCATGTTAGAAGTTGATCAGTGCAATTCAAAAGGTCTGTAGAGCCAGGTGTGGAGGTCTGCAATGATGGGGTGCAGGCAGGCACTTTTAAATAGGGGAGTCAGAGAAGGCTTTATGAAGAAGGTGACATTAAAACAAGGACTTGAAGAGGATGAGGCATGTGAATATCTGAGGGAAGAGCATTCCAGGCAAAGGGAACAGCAAGTGCAAAGTCCCTGAGACTGGATTGTTCTTTATTCAGGAACAGCTAGGATAATAGTATGGCTGGAGTGGAGTGAGAAGGGCAAGAGATGAGGCCTGGGAAGTGGTAGATCTGAAAATCTGTCCTGAGGTGGACTTTTGTCAAGTATTTCCACTCACGACATGCTCTGGTAAATCCTTGTTTGTATGAACTGGTATGGCCAAAGGTATCATAAAGGGAAGCCCAGAAGAGGTGGGAATATGGCTTTAGACTGTAAAGATGTGCAATGGAGTCTACCTCCATTTGAACTGGGCTTGGCGATACTGTAGGAGTTTTCCAGGCAGAGAGGGGTAAGGGATTAGGTTGGCTTGGCAATGCTTGACACACAACAGGCACCCAATAAATAGAAACCTGGACAGCTCAGGAGGTGGTGCAGGGGGGAGTCATGGGTGGGGCTCTGGCGGACCAGAAGAGGTAGTTGAGAGGTGGCAGTTCAGTTCAGTCACTCAGTCATGTCTGACTATTTGCGACCCCATGGACGGCAGCACGTCAGGCTTCCCTGTCCATCACCAACTCCCGGAGCTTGCTCAAACTCCTGCCCATCGAGTCGGTGAAAGGTGGCAGTAAAACCCAATTTAGGGCATGTCCTCGGGTGAAGGGAAAGAGACGTCCCCTTCCAAGTCAAAGCCGGAACCATGCCAAGTAATGCTCTCGCCCCTTTAAAGGTCCGTTTTTCCCATCAGCTTAGGCTGCACCCTGTGAGCTTCGTTGATGGAGATGGGAGTGGTTAGAGGCGGAATGAAATTCGATTGAGCGATCTTTTGACCAATCACCTTGCGAGGTGTTCGACCTATGGTAAGAGGAGCTCAGAACAAAGAGACCCGCCCCCTCCAAGGCAAAACCAATGAAAACCTGGCGGAGGCGTGGTCAGGACAGCAAAATCACGCCTCTCCAGGCAGGCCACGCCCTTCATTCTTGCTCAGCCTCACCCAAGGGAGCAAATCCGATTGCCTGGGCGACACCTCGAAGGGCGGGGCTGCAAATGTTCACAGTTGGAAGGAGCTCGTGGTCTGGGAGGAAGGCGGGGGAGCTGCTGGGCGGGGCTAGACTCTCTCCTATCTAAGGTGGTAAATGCCAATGATTCTCCAGGCCGCCTCTCCGAGAAAAGTCATCTCGCGAACTTTTAAAATCCCTGCCTCCCGAGACACCTCAGGGGACTAGGACTGACTGCTTCATCTGTCTTTTTCCTCCTTGCAAAAGTCCCGTTTTCTATTATGGGGATGTACCAAGTGAGACCGAGTAGGGTGAGCGAGTGGTGACTGGCACGCTGGTCACTGGATGCTGCCCACTTCGGCGTTAGCAAACTTCTAGCAAGATCGCAACTCAGTACCAAATAACCTCTACACTTCCCGCTGGCGCAGTTCCAGGGCCAGCGCCACATTTCCCAGTGGGCGCGCAATGGCCGCGCCCCCTCCCGCTGCGGACGGGTCTTTTGGTACCTGAAGTCCGAGGTGAGTCCCCTCCTTCCCACTTCACCCTTTCCAGCGCGTGCGTGCGCATGCGCGGAGCGCGGCGCGCGCAGCGGTTTGGCCGTTGGCTGTTCGGCCCTGGGATTCGCTGCGTCTCCGTGAGCAGTAGGCTCTGAACCGCGAGCCGCCGTGAGCTCTCGGATTCCAGCCGGCGCCAGCGAGCCCGGGGGCATCGCCCGCAGCGGCCAAGCTCATGGCCGGCTGAGCGGGACGCCGCCTCCGCCTCAGCCACCGCCGCCGCCGCCGCCGCCTCCTCCTCCTCAGCCGGCGGCGGCCCGGGCCCAGCAGCCATGGCCGAAGACTACTGGGACGGGCGCCTGCGGCGAACTGGAGGAGAAGGAGGTCGTGCGGCCTCAGTCCGGGCCGCCGCCCCAGGCGCCACCGCGCCGGCCCCGCGGCACTGAGGTTGCTCGCGCGCCCCCGCCGGTGAGCGCGTTCACGAGGCATGGGGTGGGGGCTGCTCTTCTTCCTACAGAACCAACCCAGACCCCGGGCGGTGCCCAGGGGTCTGGGGTGCACCGCTGGCCTGTGCCCCCTCCCCCAGCGAGTTTCCCAGAATGCACCGGGGCGGGGGGGGGTCATTCAGGGCCTCACTGACCTTGGCCCCGCCCTGGGCCTGGTCTGGGAGCTAGGGATGAGAAGTACTATGGGTGCTAGTGGGGAGTAGGGTGATCGAAGGACCAGGGGGTGTGTAAATGGGTGGCAGAGTGGTGAAAGACTAGAGGTTTGCTAACTGGGGCCTCAGCTGTGAAGGGGTCAGAGCATGTGGTAGTAAACTAGTCTTACCGCTGTGTAAGGTTTTGAGGCTCAGTGTGTGCTAGCAGAGGGGCGGTGCTGGGCCCAAGGATGAATAACAAGGAAGAGGACGTCAGAGGAGTGCTGAGATATGCAAATGGGGTTATAGCTGTAGAAGGGCCCTGTGGGTGTTGCTGGTGGATAAGGTGGTAGAGGTGCCAGAAGGTTCGCTGGTGGGATTGGAGCTCTGAGGTCCTGTGTGTGGTAAGGGAGTCACGATGGTGTTAACACTGTGTATTTGTCCATGAGGGACTGCAGGGTTTGAGGATACAGTGTGCTCATAGAGGACAGGGTCCAGTGTTGAGAGGGTGCCAGTGGGGGTCGTAGCTCTCAAGGGTATGTGCATATGGTAATAAAGGTCTGGACAGTATAAGGCCCAGTATATTAATGAGGGCAAACCGGTGGAAGACCTGAGCCACGTACTAATGGGTATTAGAATTGTGGATATATGTCTGTGGGGAGTGGGGATTGGTGGTGAGGGAAGAATCTTAGCATTGTAAGAGGTTCATTGTATTAAGGATCAAAGTGGTGTGAGAAGAGTATGTATCCATGAGGTCAGAGGATGTAAGATTGTGTGTATGTGTTAGACACTCAGTCGTGGCCGACTCTTTGCGACCCCTTGGATTGTAGCTCGCCAGGCTCCTTTGTCCATGGGGATTCTCAAGGATTCTCAAGTATTATTCTGGGGTGGGTTGCCATGCCCTTTTCCAGGGGATCTTCCCAACCCAGGGATCGAACCTGGGTCTCCCACATAGAAGGCAGATTCTTAACCGTCTGAGCCACCAGGACGCCCTACAAAGAAGCAGGGTAATATATGAAGTTCTAGTGACTGCTCATGTGGGTTTAGTGACAGAGGTATGTAAATGTGTGTCAGTGTGGGGAGAATCAGTGCAGTATGAGTTCTGGAATATGCTAGTGAGTGTTGGAATATGCTAGTGAGTGTCAGAATATTGGAAAGATAGTGTGTACCTGAGTGCCTGAGATTTGTTGAGGTTCCAGGGAGTGCTAATGGAGGATAGAGCTATGGAGAAGATCTTGTGTGCAATAAAGAAGATGAGGGCTGTGAAGGGATCCAGTTGTCAACCAACGGGATTATAGCTGTGGAGGAGTTGAAGCAAAGAGAAATAAAAGAATATGTGATGGTCTAGGTGTGCTAAAGTGGATTAGAGCCATGGAGGGCTGAAGTGTGCTACTGGGGTTCTGGGCTGGATGAAGATCTGTGTGTGCTAATGAGGGTCAGGCCATTATAGAACAGCGTGTTTGTGTGTCCCTGGAGAATGGGGCTGAGTATGGGTTCAGGGTGTGCTAATGGGAAGGCACTGTGAGGTCCGGTGTGTGTTAATAGGGGTCAGGGTGAAGTGAAGGTCCAGCCTGTGCTGATGGGAAGTGGGGGGACAGGGTAGTGGGAGGACCAGAAGACAACATTAATAATGATCACAGCTGTAGAGAGGTCTGAGTGTGGGCAAAAACAGGTTCAGGGATCTGCAAGATTCACTTTGTGTTAATGGGATTCAGGGCAGTGTGAAGGTCCAGTGAGTGCTAATATAGGTTACTCTGTACAGCTGTAGAGGGTCCCAAGTGCATGTAAATAGGGATCATAATCTTGCTGGGGGAACAATGAGTGCTGTGGAGAAGCTTACAGGCAGCATGTGGTGCTAAGAGTTAACTTAGAGGAGCCGACTGGATGCTAACAGAGTTCAGTGTTCTGTTGAGGCTTTGTATGCTAATAGAGTCAAAGATAAATAGGGACATTGCAGTGCTGTTGGCAGTTAAAATGCAGAGAAGCCTTCCTGAGGGTCCAGTGTGTACTGAAGGAAGCAAGACACTGTGAGAGTCCAGTGTGTGCTTATGGGATGTGCCTGAACAGAATGAGGATGGTATGTTCCTATGGGAGTTACTAGAATGTGATAATTGTGTCCTCAGGGGCTGGTGTAATGTGAGGTGGTAAGTATCCTTGGGTATGAAAATATTTTGAGGATGGAAACATCTCCTTGGGGAGTCAAAAAGAACATGTGCCCTTTTTTGAGTGTGGTTGTGTATGTAGTTTCTTGCTTCCTCATTCACTATTCTAAAATCTAAAAATCTGAGAAAACTAAGATGATATTTGAAAGTTTTACTGCATGTTAATGTTCCAGTGTCTCTGCTCACAGGACCCTGTGAAGGGTCCCCCTGCTGGGGGCATTGTATGAAACAGGTTTTGTACCCCCATCTTCCTAAAATCTCCCCAAAACTAAGCCCTGGAACATGTCCAGCCCTTGGAGTTTCCACTTAGAGGTCATGGACCCATGGCTCCTTCTGGCTCCTTCTCATCCTCCATCCAGCCCTACTTGCAATACACACCCCCCTAGATCCCCTATTCCCTTCCACAACAGGCAAAACAATTGGGTATCCATGCCGTATGGACAGACACAAGAGCATTTGGGGACTGGCCATTCTTCACCTTCCTCAGCCTCAGGTCTAGTGTTCACCAGGATTTTTTTTTCTCTTGTTATCCCAGGTTGGACTTCAGTCCTCTTTATTGAGGTCTTTTCTGCTAGGCTGGCCCCTCTACCCTTCTGGGGGTGATGAATTCAGGCAGGCAGAAGTGGGGTGTGGGGACCACTGGGGTGAGCACCTGATTTCACGGTAACAGATGATTCAGTTATCTCCTCAAATCCAGCCCCAGCCCCAGCCTCCTATCTAGCTCTGCTTCCCTTGGGCCCAGGGCCATCTTAGGCCCTGCTGTGAGTCCAGATGGTCCCTGGGCCAGGTCTTTCCCCCTCCTTGCTGGCCCAGAGCCCAGGAGGAAGCAGAAGAAGGCCGGCCTAAGCCTTTTGGTGGCCCCGTTCCTGCCAGCAGCCCCATCTAGGTCATCATCTTGCCAATGCCAGTGTCCCTGGGCCACCTTGTCTGGGGTTGTTAATGAGTAGCAGGGACTCACCCTGACAAATGTTGGTCCTAGGTCTTTAGCTCCTGATTCATTAATTTCTGCCATGAGCACTTTTTGAGCACCTACTCTGTATCAGTCACTGTTCCAGGTCCTCAGGATATAGCTGTGACCTAAACAGACATCCGTCTATCCTGGCAGAGCTGATCTTCTAGTTATGGTGGTGAGGAGACAGTAAAGAATAAAGAAACCAATAAGTAAATGGTGTCATTTCTGAGGAGATGATAAGTGCTGAGGGCACAATTGACAAGGTGAGGGAGCTCAGGATGGTTCAGATTTTAAATAGGGTTATTCTTGGTTATCTGTTAAAAAAAATGATATTTGAGCAGTGGCCTAGAGGGGGTGAGCTACTTTAAAATCTAGAGAAAGAGTATTCTAGTACCGGGAAGAACTGTTGCAAAGGCCCTGAGGAGGGACTTTTGGGTGTGGTTGCAGAACAGCAACGAGCAGTGAGGTGAGGCCAGAAGGGTAGTAGTGTGAGTGGGGTAAGACCTTGAGGGCCACAGGAAGGAGTGAGACGTTTATTTGGGGTGATAAGGGACACATGGTACATTCTCAGCTAGACAAGAAATGTGACCTGGCTTGTAAAAATCTCTGGGACCCTGTGGTCCAAACCTGATTGAACCTTTCCAGCAACTCTCAGGATAGCTGGTATACTTTGAGATTCCCACCCCCCACAACCCCACCCAGTGGTTGGGTCTGGGCAGGAAACCTCTCCCTCTCCCCGCACCCCTCATCGGGGTAGCCCAGTGGGGTAGTCCACTAGTCACCTTGACGATGGTTGCTGGGGGAGGCGAGAGGGACCTTGTGGCCACAGGGAGCATTCTGCCTTTGCAGTTGGGGGTGATGTGGGGCTGGTGCCAGCGGAACATGCCATTGTATGGACATCCCTGGGGCCGTGTCAGTGGTCTCAGGGTCCTGAGAGAGTCCCCCACCTCACCAGTGGCTGGGTCCATCAGTGCCGCTGCACCTGAGAATGCCTGCTGTAGAGCCCTCTGCTCCCACAGTGAGGCTGCCCCCAAAGAGGCCAACACTTCATCAGTTGTGCCCTTTCCCTCAGCCAGCCACCCAAGCCTTAGTACCCAGGTGGGCTCTTAGGAGCAGGGTCTCCTGGGGCTGGTTGGTGTAGGTGGCAGGCACTGACCAAGATCTCCATCCATGCCAGGTTTCCAGGAATCCTGTGTGATTCCAGGGTTCCACAGTGTTTGGGTGAGCACTGCCACAGGTTCCTGTCAGTGCACCTCACTGGGTTTTAGGGGGCCCATGGGGGTCAGGCAACTGCTAGGGTGGGACCCATTCCCATCCCTACCCCCTGCTCAGGTCGCCATGGATCGGATGAAGAAGATCAAACGGCAGCTGTCAATGACACTCCGAGGGGGCCGAGGTATAGATAAGACCAATGGTGCCCCTGAACAGATAGGCCTGGATGAGAGTGGCGGGGGCGGCGGCAGTGACCTTGGAGAGGCCCCCACACGTGCTGCCCCTGGGGAACCTCGCTCTGTGCGGGGCCCACTCAGCTCTGCACCAGGTGGGTCCAGACCATTCCCGCTCCTAGCCTGGTCCCCAGGGGTGCTGCCTGCCAACCAATTTTTTCTTAGACTTGTACTATTTTCACTTTCCTTTCTCCATTTTCTCCCCCACCTCTACCATCCTTGCTCAACACCCTCTCTCTGTTGTCCATCTGTGCCCCTTTCCTTGGCTTTGTGCCCAGGTCTCAGGGGGAGGAAGGGTACCCTGCCTGCTACAGCTGCCCCAAGCCTCCCTCTGCCCTTCTGCGCTCTGTGACAGCCCCTTCAGGCCTCCTGGCACCTGCCTGCCCCAGGCCTGCCTTCCCAGGGCATTCGGCTACTTCTGCCGCTGCCTGCCCACTGGCCCTGGGCAAGCCACAGTCTCAGCTCGCCGCTGACACGGGGTGCTCCACTAGGTGACTATTGCCCCCCCTGCCCAATTCAACCTGTTTTGACCTGTGTGAACCTCCCGGGGCCTTCCCACCCTCTTCCCTGAGGAACTCCAGGCTGCTCTGGAGTCCATGTGCGTACATGTGTGATGAGGGAATGTGTTATGAGGGTGGGGAGATTTGTCCTGGGGCTCCTGAGCCCACCTGGTGTGCCCTCCCCCTGTCCCCACTACCAGAGATTGTGCATGAGGACTTGAAGATGGGGTCTGACGGAGAAAGTGACCAGGCTTCAGCCACGTCCTCCGATGAGGTGCAGTCACCAGTGAGGGTGCGCATGCGCAACCATCCCCCACGCAAGATCTCCACTGAGGTGCTTAACTCCCTGTCTGGGCAGTGGCGGGGCTGGAAAAAGAGGGTTGGATCTGGATATTATAGCTGATGGTCCTGTTTTTTCCCCCATCTTGCCTGCTAGGACATCAACAAGCGCCTATCACTACCAGCCGACATCCGGCTGCCTGAGGGCTACCTTGAGAAGCTGACCCTCAACAGCCCCATCTTTGACAAGCCCCTCAGCCGCCGTCTCCGCCGCGTCAGCCTGGTGAGCATCTTCTGTTCCTGTCCTCCTTTTCCTCCTCCCAGTCCCTTCCGCTGAGCCTACTTCAGTCTGCATCCTTTACCTGACAGTCTGAGATCGGCTTTGGGAAACTGGAGACCTACATCAAGCTGGACAAGCTGGGAGAGGTGAGAGACAGCCAGGAGACCCATGGTAAGGCTGGGGTTCAGTGGGAACTCCCTGTAACCTCATAGCTTCTCTCCTGTCACTCTTCCTCACATTCCAGGGTACCTATGCCACTGTCTACAAAGGCAAAAGCAAGCTCACAGACAACCTTGTGGCACTCAAGGAGATCAGACTGGAACACGAAGAGGGGGCACCCTGCACCGCCATCCGGGAAGGTACAGGTCCCACCCCATCTGTTGCAGGCTTCCCAGGCTCTCCCCATGGTGTGTATGTGCACATACACTCCCATAGTGAGGACAGGATTGGGGGTTCTGGGACTTCTCTCGTGGTGCTCTGGGCTTCATGAAAAAGTGCTCATCACCCACATATCCAGATAATAAATTAGGGTAACCAGGAGTCTTCCTTTGTTGAGAAGAGGCAGATAATTGTTTACTTTGATTCTGGGAATATCCTTGAAGTGCTCATCAGTTTACTTGACACAATAGTTTCTAGTCAGAAAATCACATGGAATGAGTCTGAACTGTATAGAAATTGAATGTACAAACTCATTTTTACATGAAGCTGCGGGTCTGTATACTGAGGGTTGGAATAAGGGCCCTTTCCAAAACCAAAAACTGGTTGTGAAGATCTAGTGTCATGTAAGCCTAAGGCTGCGATCCAAGGTTCTGGCTCTGTACTCTTCTTTGAGCCTTAGTTTCCATGTCTGGAACTTGGGGACACACCTTCTTCCTGATAGCAGGTGGGTTGGAGCTGGGTTAGAGTGGACTGTGAGCCACCATCCCAAACCACACAGGGAAAGGAGGAAACCCTGGGCTTGACCCCATCTAGTCTTCCTCGCCTCTGTCCTGAGCATGGGCCTTGACTCTTCCCCTGTCCCAACTCCCTGCTTCCTGCAGTGTCCCTGCTCAAAGACCTCAAACACGCCAACATCGTCACACTACACGACATTATTCACACGGAGAAGTCCCTCACCCTTGTCTTTGAGTACCTGGTAAGATTGGGTGGCCATGGGTCCTGGGGGAGGTGGGGAGATGGCCAGGAGCCACAGGATGTGACCCTCTTTCCTCTACCTGCTCTTCTTTCCTCAGGACAAGGACCTGAAGCAGTACCTGGATGACTGTGGGAACATCATCAACATGCACAACGTGAAAGTGGGTGTGGGGCAGGAAGCAGGGGCACAAGGGGGCCCCCCACTCACCCACTCCACCCCCCAAATCTCCCAGAAACAGATGTTTCCCATTTGGCTTTTTTGCTGGGAGCCCTTGAAGGGCATTGGGACCCTATCCTCTATTTGTGAGACAAGGCTCTGGGCTCAGTGCTTGTGTTTGGGAGGGAGAGCAGTGCCTGCTTGGGGTCAGGCTGCTGCTACTCTTTGACCTCTGCCTGCCATTCCTGGGTCCCCAGCTGTTCCTGTTCCAGCTGCTCCGTGGCCTGGCCTACTGCCACCGGCAGAAGGTGCTACACCGAGACCTCAAGCCACAGAACCTACTCATCAATGAGCGAGGAGAGCTCAAGCTGGCCGACTTCGGTACCCCTGGCCTCCCCCTTCATCCCAGTGATCCCCCAACCTTACTCTCCCAGCCCCTCCTTCCCTCTGACCACCTCGTCTCAGTCCCTTCCCTTCAGCCTCTCTAGGCTTCACTTGGGAAGCCCTCAGTCCCAACCACATTCTCCCCCAGACGGCCCATGATCTCCTCAATTCCAGCTGCTCATTATCTCCACCTACCAGGCCTGGCCCGGGCCAAGTCAATTCCAACGAAGACCTACTCCAACGAAGTGGTAACACTGTGGTACCGGCCCCCTGACATCCTGCTCGGGTCCACGGACTACTCCACTCAGATTGACATGTGGTAAGGACAGGCTGAAGTGTGGCAGGGGCCACGCAGTAAAGGGGAGTGGCTTGGTCACAACAGCCAACCAGCTAACTACCTGCCTATTCACTGTGCTCTCCTTGCCCAGGGGTGTGGGCTGCATCTTCTATGAGATGGCCACGGGCCGGCCCCTCTTCCCAGGCTCCACAGTGGAGGAGCAGCTGCACTTCATCTTCCGCATCTTGGGTAAGGAGGCATGAGCCCTAGGAGCTGTGGGGACATGCAGGGAGGCCCTGTGAGATGCTTAGGATAACTCCGCTTCCCCGCCAGGAACCCCAAATGAAGATACATGGCCAGGCATCCTGTCCAATGAAGAGTTCAGGACATACAACTACCCCAAGTACCGAGCTGAGGCCCTTTTGAGCCATGCACCCCGGTGAGGCTGGTGGGTGGGTGGCTGTTAGGGGCCAGAGTACCCAAACTCAGTTTAAAACAGGTCCCCTTGTCCTTGAGGTAGAATTGACAGCGATGGGGCTGACCTCCTCACCAAGCTGCTGCAGGTGAGACCACCTTCCTGGGCCACCCTAGGGGCCTAGTGGATTCCAGGTGTGGGGGAAACAGAGCTACAGGGGCAGGGTCTGGGGTGGGGAGGAAGAGAAGCCTACTTGTTGAAGTGTCAATACTCCCCCACCCCAACACACACTCAGTTTGAAGGTCGCAATCGGATCTCCGCAGAGGATGCCATGAAACATCCATTCTTCCTCAGCCTGGGGGATCGGATCCACAAACTTCCTGACAGTGAGTGGGGCTGGGGAATGGACCAGCTGGTGGGGGGCTTTGTGGAACAGGATTGCTGCAGATAGCTGGGCAGTTGTGTTGAGCTCTAGCTGTGCCATCTCTGATGGGGTGAGGCATATGCCCTTGTTCACATATGTGATATGTTGTATTTTATAAAAAAGTTTTTTAGCTTTCAGTTTCTTTTACCTTTCATGGAAATTTTCAAACATAAAACCTGACAGAACATCCATCACTTTACCTTAAAATCCCATATATTTATATATTAAACCAAGTAATATGGTCTATTATATATTGAACTAAATAATAAGTCCCCAAGTACTCCAACAAGTGATCAATTCATGGCCAGAGTGGTTTTATCTATATTCACTCTGATTATTTTAAATCAAGTCTCAGATCCATCATTCATCTATATACAATTTTAGCATGTACCTCTGAAATATTTTCTTAAGCACAACAATAATACAATGATCACACTAAAAAAAAAAAACAAAAAACATTGGATTAATCTCAGTCACAACCCAAACATCATCCATCATCTAGATTTAACAGGTGGTAATTGCAATACCACTATTACACTTGACAAAACTACTAATTTCTCAGTGTCATGTAATAGTCTACATTCCATTTTCCCTAGTGGTAGCTGGTTTGTGTGTGGGATTATTTGGCTGATGAAAGTCAAGACTCAAAGAAAAGGCAGCTTTTTCTAATTGCCCTGATGGGGCCACACAGGAGGTGGTCCTGGATGGCCTCATGGGTCCTGCCCCACTTCTGTCTCTCCTCCACCCACAGCTACTTCCATATTTGCACTAAAGGAGATCCAGCTACAAAAGGAGGCCAGCATTCGATCTTCGTCAATGCCTGACTCAGGTAAGTGTAGGTGTGACCCTTGCCCTCTTCCCTGCCCCTTGGCCCCCGTCCACTTGCCTGCTTGCTCACCAACAGCCATCCGCTCTGCTTTCCCCTGCAGGCAGGCCAGCTTATCGAGTGGTGGACACCGAATTCTAAGCCACAGACCGAGGCCCCAGCAGGCAGCAGCTGGAGGGATGCCACACCCCTCACAGGGCAGCCCCCAACTGCATCCTCCCTGCTTGCTGCCTGCCTGCCTGCCTGACTCATGCTCCCATGCCCACATGTCCCCTGCTGCCTGTCTGAACACCCGACCATTGGCCTGTTGGCCCACCCATTGGCCTGTCTGCTGGGTGCTAACAAAGCTCTCATCGCTCCTTCTCCTGGTCTGTCTTGTCTTATCTGTCTATATGTGTCTCTTTCTCTCTCTGTCTTGGTAGTTGCCGGTGGACAGCGTGGCCGTGCCAGCCTCCCACACTGAGGCCAGGCCTAGACCCCTCCCCATCATACCCTCCCCCAGGACCACTACCCCATGGCCAACCAGGGGTCTGGAGCTAGCCCAGGCTGGGGATCTCGACTCAGACAAGTCATGGTGATGCCTTGGGTCTGAGGCTCCCCTTCCTGCTTTCCTGCCTCATGTTGTGTGGGCCTTGTTTGTTTGTTTCATTCATTGTTGTTTTTTTTAATTATTTTAAATGAGATTTTCATTTTTTAAATGCAATATCTCTGTATACAGACTGCTGGGCCCCACTCACTGTGTGTGGCCCTCCCACAGTATTTTGTGCAATGAAGCCCTGCTCCCAGCCTTTTCATGGCAGGGACATAGTCCCTATTCAAAACCCTGATCATCACCAGACCCTGGGGTCAGCTAAGGGAAAGCATGCCTTGGCAACTCGCCTTCCAACCCCCACCTGCCATCCCCAGCCGCAGGGGGACTTGGGGACTACTGGAGACTCTCTGGGAGATGGATGAGGTGGGGGGCCCCCACTCTTTCCCTCCTTTAGTCCCATAGCTGGGGCTTCCTTCTCAGGGTCTCCCTAGCCCAGCCCTCCTGCCCCCATCCTGCACGGTGCTGTTGAGTAGGGGCCCTGCCAGGAACTGACCAACTCAGCGGTGGAGCCATAGTGTGCATATGTGCACAAGCAGGGACAGAGGGGCGCATGGGAGGTTGTGCCCAGGCATTACCCCCTATCCTCTGGGGAAAGTGAGACAGGGCAGGGACAGTCTCTGGGGTCAATCCCCAGATGGGTGGTTACCTTCCCTTCCTCCACTCTAAACCCTGGGGCCCTCAAATGGGGTGGGAGGGCAAGGGCAGGGGCCCTCCTAGGGGAGTTGGGAGGGGTGGGTTCCTGAATGCACCATAATCGCTGTATGAAATATTAAAAGTCTAAAGTGAAAAACTTGATTGCAAATCCCTTTGGGGGTGGGCTCAACCCAGGGTGAGTACTGGGACCTTGGAGAATTCACACTTGGTGCCTGTTGTCTAGAAGAGCACTGCTAGTGGGCCAGGGATGTGTCAGGACTATGAAAAAGCATCTGAGGGGTTGCACATAACATGGTGGAACATTGAGTTGAAGCAGGTAGGGCAGGCTGTATAGAGGATGGGCTAAGGATTGAGCAGAGAGGAGTTAGATTTACCCCAGAATATGAGGAAACCAGATAGAAGATAGACTGTTAGGTATGGAGAGGCTGTTTCTTTGAAAGACACTTAGAAGGCCCAATAAAACCAGGATTTGGGGAGATAAGGCAGAGAAACCCAGTATGACTAAGACATGTTTAGCTGGGACCATGAGGCAGGCCAGTTGGAATGTGATATGGTAGATTTTAAACCACAGAGAAGATAGGGGAATCTTTTTAATACTTGGGTCAAATTTAGGACTAGGGCCATTGATGGAAGTTTAGGTTATTGGTATCTAGGAAGTAATGGAAACCATGGACATGTACGAGATGACTGTGGAAAGAATGCAATGGTTTGTGAGAAGTCTATAGGTAGCCTGGGACTCAAGTTGAGGCTCTGATTTCCTCTGTCCTGGGAGTTCTAACCCCTGTCCACCATGTTGAGCAAACCCCTGGATAGATTCCCAGGCAGAAGACGTGGGGTGGACAGGGCCTGGCAAATGCTATAGGCAATACAAGCCTAAGTGGCTGGTTGATGAAGTCCAGCGGCAGCAGTGGACCTCTGCTGTGTCCCTGTAAGCATTCTGGTGATAGTCTACAGCCTTATGGTTCCACGATGACTGTGAAGTCCCCAAAGATGGGAAAGCAAGCAAGGAAAACCATCTTCCCTGTTTCCTTATAATGGCTAAAACTGTTAAGCCCCTCAGCAGACTTTTTGTGCCATCCTTTGGCTAGAATCAGTTGACATGGCCACTTCTGATAGTAAGGAGGTGGGGAAAATGAAGACCTTGCCAAAGGGGACAAGATTGCCAGGCTGGACTTAGGACTAGAACTCACCCAACTGCTCTAGGAACTGGTAGGGTCATTGGTGTGGGCAGAGATTGGTTTCTGGAAAGTGGAGAAAACAAGCCTACAGAGGGAGGCCTCTTGTTGGATTGTAGGAAGGACAAGCTTCAAATTAAATGGGGAGGAGGTGTCTGCAGATGGGCAATGAGAGTCCGTTCAGAGAACCTGACAAGCTTCAGGTAGGCCTGAAGGGCATCTATCTACCATGTGCCAGACCCAACTCGAATGCCACTTTACAGATCCTGAGGTGAAATGGCTGCTCCCTTTCCTCCCTCAAAGATTACACAACTGAGTTGTGACCCCCTCATCTGTGCCAGGTCTGAGCTGGAGGCTGGCATCAGTAATTCACAATTCCTGCCCTAATGAAGTTAACTGAAGATAGAGGTAAATTGTGAGATCATGTGTATTGGTGGCAATGGGGTTTGAAATTGTGCAAAGAAAGGGTATTTTGGACACCTGTGTGTGCATGGGCCTAAATGTGTGAAAAAGCAAGGTATGCATTTGCCTGTGGGAATGGGTAGTGATAGTGAGGGAAATACACTGAAAGAGACCCAGAATCATGAGCCTGTCTTAGGGAGTTTGTGCAATGGTTAGGTGGGGATAGCCAATAGGCAGGTCGATATAAGGGAGCCAAAGAAGGAAATTTTAGTTACCACCAACATAAGGAGGGCTAGGAGCCCCAGCAGAGAAAATGTAGACATAGCCTAGAGCAGCAGTTCTCAGCAGATAATGTCCCCCACCCACAGAGGAAGTTTTGCAACTAGGAGATGCTCCTGGAATCTAGCAGGTAGTGGCCAGCAATGCAGCTAAACATCCTACAATGCTTCCTATAACAAATGTCAATAGTGCCTAAGCTGAAAAAACCCTGATGCAGTTGACTGGTTCTCAAACTTTTGGTCTCAGAATTCCTTCCTATTCTTAAGGCTATCCAAAGAGCTTTTGCTTACGTCATGCAGTCTCTGGAAAATTCCACGGCACACGCAATAGAAAATGACCATGAAAGAGTCTTGTCGTGAATAGTTTTGACTTTGTGAACCCTGAAAGGGTCTCCTGAACGGGTAGAAAGCCAAAAAGGACCCTAGTTTGAAAATCTCTGGCGTGGAATTTAAAGGTGGCACCTCTGGAACTGGAATTCCTGAGTTCAACCACAACTCCACTACTTACTAGTGGGGCGAGGTGAATTAACGTTTCTGGTCCTCAACATCCCCATTGTTTCCCATAGGCAAGCTGCTGCCTAAGACTATTTATGTGCAATAAAACACCGAAACAGTGCCAACTATTATTATCAGTGCTGTAACTCCAATAAATATACCTGGCCTGGGGCTGATTTGCCTTCCACACGTTTGTTAAGAGGATAAATCTAGTTCACGCAAGGAAGAGGCCTGCAGGCCGGGGTAGCGCCCTGGAAGTGATGCCTTCTTTTGCATTAGTTTCTGATAGAGAAGGGTAGTGCAATGAAGGAAGGGCATCCTGATCAGGCTTGCAAAAAGGCCGCTCCCAGGATACAGGCCCGCAGTCCTCAGCAAAGCATGGGACCGAAAGGTCCTGGAAGTTTCCCCTGAGCACGCCCCAGTATGTCCTTTTCCGCCTCGGGGACCACTACCTAGACGTTCCGCACAATCGTTTGTCCTGACTCAACATGGCGTTAGAATCCCACAAAACACCTTGGTCCTTAGTTCCCAACTGGAGGATTTACCCCGCCTATTGGTGGCGGAAATCACCGCCCGCGTGCCTATGCCTGCCCAGCCCTTCGACGAGTCCCATCGCTGGGGGTCCCTTTTCAAGATGGCAGTAGCCCCCTGGCTGTATGGGGGGCTCTGCTTCCGTTTCCGGGACCAAAATCCGGAAGTGGCCATTTAGGGGCCCTTCCTATTCCCAGCTGCGGTGGCCGCTAGGGGAGGGCAAGCGGCTATGGCAGAGGCCGCAGCGAGTCCCGCGGATACTGCTGCGATCGACGACCAAGAGCCACAGCGCGAAGCGGTGCCGGACCTGGAGAGCCAGCGGCGCCAGATCGAGAATGGCGAGAATGGGCGAGGGCGTCCGCTGCAGGTTGGCGAAAGCTGGTAAGGCAGAGCTGCAAGCGGAGCCTCGGCTTGGGGGGACGGTGGGGGACGAGACGGCGGAGGTCCACGTGAGAGCCGCCCTGGGGAGGAGGAATGGCCTCTGTGACTGGGAACGAGAGGGGCGGGGAAGTGCCTAGTCTGGGAAAGAGGTGGAGCCTGTGCGGTGCAGCCTGCTGCCTGATAGCGCGGCGCGATTTGGCGCGGAGGCAGGGGGCGGGTCACGAGAAGGGAAGGCCGGGGCGGCGGGGCCAGGCCAGCGAGGTGGGGAACTTGGGAAGGAGGGGATCTCAGCAACAGAGCTGGGGAGCGTGGTCTGCACGGCGTTCCGAAGCATCTGGGAGCGGGCCGTGACTGCTGCGCGGCACCTGAGAACTAAGTCAATGCCGGTAACGTCAGGCCGAAGAGCGGTTTGGGAGCTGAAGGCGGAGCGGGTGGGGGAAGAGGGAGGGAGTCAGACCCTTCGTGGTGGAGAGAGCTGGAGTCTGGGAACGAGGCTTGTGACGAGGCCGAGGGGTGTGTCCTGAGGCTGTGAAGAGACTGCAGAGGGGAGGTGGTGCCCGTGAAGCAGAAAATGGCGCCTGCGAGTGAGCAAAGCTTGTGAAGCGGCGAGGTTTTTGTTTCTGGCCAAGCTCATCTTCCCAGGACGGGAAAAAGTGCAGGTGATTGGCACGGGAGGGGCCTTCGATGTTACGTTTGTTTTCTGTTTTAGTAGTGGTTTGTTTTGTAATCAAGAAAAAACAGCTATTTTTAAAATATCAATGCGTATCTTGATAAATCGACTTGTTTAATTGATTTCTTTGCTAACCGTTGCTCGAAATGTACTGTTCCTGGGTTCATTTTATTTCTCGCCGAGTTGCATCTCGTTTTTTAAGTTGTGAAATACGTAAGACCTGCAAAGGTAATATGAAACGTTTACGTTGGCCAGGTTGATGGATATTTTATAAAAAATAAACGATCTGTACTCTTCAAAAATTTCAAGGTCGGGAAGAACTGTTCCACATTGAAGAAATTAACGGGACTTAACGAATGCATAACGAAATGCAATGTGTGATCCTAGATTGGATCCCGGAGCAGAAAAATTATTTAAAAATCTTTTCTTTTTCACCTCATAAAGTGAATTTTCTCTTTTACTGTAAAAGATATGAATGGGGAAAATGATAAAATGTTTACCAAAGTCTGTAGACTAGATGTTAGTACTGTTAATTTCTTGGTTTTGATCATTGTAATTGTGAAAGATAATATCTTTGTTTTTAGGAAATTCATTTAGGGTTAAAGAACCGAAATATTTAAGGTTAAAGATCTATTGTGTAAGCAAGCTTACTCTGAAATGGTTGAAAGAATAGCATATATAAAGACGTATTTAAAGAAATAATGACCGAGTGAGTAAAAATTTAAATTTGGAGAATCTTGAATGAAGGGCACGCAGAGATTCTTTGTATTATTTTTACGACTTTTCTGAGTCTATTTCTAAGTTTAAAATTTAAAGAATAATACAAAATTTGTGAATTAACCACCTAGGTTAAGATTCAAACTGTTACCTTAAATTCTGTGCCGCTTCCAGATGAAAATTCCCCTCCCTGCCACAGGAAATTATTACCCTGAATTTTTAATTTCGTTATCAGTTTCCCACCATTGTATGCATCCCTAAAGAGTATTTGTGGTCTAAGCTTTCTTTTTATGGGAGGATATGTGTGAAATCAGACTGGCTGCGTATCAAGTGCCCTGTGCATCACATCAGGTGGGTACTCAGTATCTATATGACGTCATTGGTGACGTTAGCCTTGATCACTTGGTGAATCTATGGGTTTCTCCACTGTAATAGTGCTATTTTCCTGTTTCTATACACAGTGATTCTTTTAAAAAATAATTTTATA